ACATATGAAGAAGTTACGAAGAAATGTTTGATGGATTTGTTACAACTCATTGGAAGTCCTTGTCAGCTGCTACACCAAAGTTGGAGAGCCCTATAACGAGGAGGGACCAGCATGTGTGGGACTTTTGTCCTCACCTTGCAGCTGCAGCATTTGGGGGTTGGAGGCCAACCTGGCACAGTGTGAATTTTGTCTTGCCAGGCTGGTTGAACCTGAGGATGGGGAGTCAAGACTTTGACTCTTGTCATGTTCTTGACCATGGGCCTCTAGGGTCCTTCCCTTTCATCCTTCCCTTCCATCCCCACCTTCCAACTGTGCTTCAATGCCTTTTCTATCATCCCTTTGAACTTGTAAGCTTCAATTATAGTGACTCTGAGGACTGTCAACTTCTCCTAGGGCAGATTACCCCCCAGTGCGCCAAACGCCATAGCTCACTCGATAAGCTACGGAATCGAGTGATTCAACTTTCATTGGAAAGCTGACGCTGCAAGCTACAACATTTTCAGATTGTTTCACCAATTGGAGTTTTGGATATAGCTTTTTGAAGGTCGCGAGTTTTCTGGGCGTCATAACGAAGTGCTGCAGAAATTTCCAAGGAGCCATTGAATCATCTGCTTATGGCCTTCTCTAACCAACAGCGAGGGTGTCGGAACGCGACTCGGGAAGGTTTGGGCCGACAATCATGGCCGAACCTGCGAGGTTGAGGTCTTCAGGTGTACACGCTGTAATTTAGCGCAGTAAGGAATCATAATCCCTTACACTCTCCCACCTTCTAAATTTGCCCTCCCTACACTAGAGGCGATACTCCGAAGGATTAATAATCCAATCGCGAGTGTGACTTTAGGTCTTGAAATCTTCTGACGAGCGTAATGATTACGCCATCCTGATGAGTCTTGGGTGAGCCAAATCCGACGGCTGAAATTGGTCGAGAGATATCTTGATTGTTGGGCGATTATCACAGGTCAGCAATGTCGGTGGCAAAGTCGATCTGATGGATATCTCCAGATCGAACGGCTGGCGATGCCTTTAATTTGGCAGGATCATGCTGGATGGCTTAGACTGTAGAACATGACATGACTGCCCGCTTGTCATCATGATGCTTGTCTTGAGATGTCGAAAGTAATCGGGGCTGTTAATCTCTCATAGTGATCCAACGGCTGAAAGTTGTCGAAACGATCCCAGCAGTTGATCTTGGCCGTTGAAAGTTGGTCGATTATTTGGCTGACCGAACTGGTCAAGGTGAAAACTCTTGCAGGCGAATGAACAGTGACGCTGTAGGCTGTCAGTTGGTGATGACGAAATCGCAGAGGACGAATGCAGCGCAGCTGCACTTCTCCCCCCCGTCAAGAACGAAACAGCTCCCAAGAGACCAGTTACTGTAGAACTCCTAGGTAATCCACTGCTCCATGGTACTCGTAAAATACCCCAACTCGACATAAAATGCCAGTAAAACTCAGCTTCTAAGACATTGGTAAAACTCTAACAGGTAGAACTTAAAAATCTACTCCAAGGTTGAATTATTCTGTAGAGCAAATCGCTTCTGGAGTCTTGAAAATCAGCAACTACTGCTCTATAAATTACTCCCAGACGAACACAAAAAAATCTTCACGAGTCAATCCACTGCTTGCGACCTGGCCCCAACACAGCTCTAACAGTACTGCTGCCAAATGTGTCGATTCGACACTACTCCAAACGTATAGCGGGGTCGTGTTCTATACACTGTAGCGAACGAAGGTAGGCGAATTGACAATGGAGGCGGTAGCGGGTGTTGGCGAGAGGTTGACGACGATGACGATGGAAAATGACCTGTCGTGAACCACTCCAGTGAATACCCTCGAGTCGAGCCTAGGGTCACATGACTGCTGCTCCATTTTGTCCGTACTTGCCGAATTTTTTGGAAAGAACCGAAACAGCTGCTGCGTCTTCAATCTCCATGAAACCAAACTACTCCACAAAAATCATATTTTGTCGCTCGTACCCCTGGATATAGCGGGCACTATGCCAACTGCAAAACCTTGAACTGCGTCACTATTTCTTCCAGCGAAAATGTCGGAACTTCTCTTGTAACTTAACAAATACCGCAACCCCGCTTCACAGCTGCACGTGCTTCGTAGCTACCCATAAGCACAGACGCGCCGTCCTTTAGCTGCACCCCCATCGGTCTGTCACCAGCTGTACACATGAACTGAGCCCAATAATCTAGGGTACTCGTCGTTTACCGCCCAGGCATGGATCTTTGGGCATCGATCATGACTGGCAAGCATCATATGCCGTCGATCTCCTCACAACTGTAACCCAAACTCTTAAAATACCCTCGTACCCCTGACCAGCTTGCCGTCCAGGCGTTCAACCATCTCGCGGCTGCTGCAGGTTACCCAAAACTGCTTCATTGCTGCTCACGTACCCCCAAAGGTCAGGTTCTTAACAGCTGCGCCGCTGGTTTTAGAAGAAATCCCCATCTGGTACCAAGCGTTTTTGCAGCGCGCCAACGTTCACCCATCTTTGCGCTCGCCATAACACCAAACACGTCCTGGGCATTATCGTGCGTCATAGTAGCCCGTGTAAATGTGGGACAACTCCCTCTGCTTAGCCGCACTTCGAAAACTTCGGATACAGTGTCGAGCTCCGGCTGCAACAGTGTCCATTTCAAATATTTCTTCACAGCTTCCCCGACTATTTTGGCAGATTGTCGTTTACCCAACTTCCCGCTTCTGTTGGTAAGTAAAATGTTGTAAAACCGTAATCCAGGGCAGGACGGAGCAAAAGCTAGCGCGCACACCTTTAGTCGGTGGAGCTAAAATATTAACTCCCAGTCAACCGCTGCGCAGCCGTGCAAATCCCCTCTGACACCATGAATTACCCCTCTTTTTTGTAGCACTCCACTGTCGCACCATCCGCCAGCACAGGACGAATATGGATTATTCCCCCTTTTTTTTAGCCTGGAGCCTCTGACCTTGTAGTTGTCACAACCAGGTGGGGGACTTCGGACGGTTGGCAAAGAACCCCGTCAGTAGGTGGCCGATTCCGCTACTGACTTACAGCAAAGCCGCTTCCACTAGGTCCTCGGCCGCCGCCGTCCATCTTCCACTAAGTCTCGAAAACCGCTTCCACTCGGTGACTCAGGGGGACGCGTCGATGTTGCTCCATAAACTGTAGGAACTTTGTTGTCGCGCCCGTACTCCCTGTTTCCTTCAGGGGCAATGGTCGTTTCCTCGATCATGAGTTTCCCTTCGGTTAGGTGAAAACTCTGCTCAGCGTGCGAGAACAGAATCGGGGGCCCTCCGTGAAGTTCGGCCGCCAATTGATGACGATTTTGTCGGTGACGATCTCCATAGCTGCTGAAATCCAATCATTTAACCGAGGGTTGCAAGATCCGATATTTTTTTTTATTTTTTTTTCTCGGAATTTGGCACGCGCGTCGTCCTCTTCCCATAAATCTCCTACCGGAAATACCGGAGCAACAAACAGGACGTCACCTGCGCCCTTCGTGCTTTACCTCGCGTACTCTTGGCGGCCACAATTCCCTGGCATTTCCTTGAGGTTGTCGTGCGACAGGAAGGCTCGTTTTTCTTGTTTTTTCTTCAACCGTTGTCGCAACCGCCCGACGAACTCGCTTTAGAATCTTGTCAGGTGCTGCCGACGACGAATGTTTCTCACACAAAACCCACTGATGTAAAATGCACTATTCACCAACTCACGTAGTGAATAAATGCCGTGATAACCACAGCTGTCCGTTCCTTGGGGGAGGGAGGACCCGACCAATCCAGGCCGTCCAAAGGCAGGGGTCTGGTGACGAAGGGAACACACACGCCTTAGTTGGACGAGCTAACAAATTAGCTCCGAGCCAACCGCTGTGCAGCCCCGCGGCCCACCAGCCATCCCTCCACCCAGCAAGTGACGAGCGAACTGGCTAAAGTAGGGCTCGTACGTGCTAGGGCGAGAACCTCGGGACGTGATGTGGCTTGGAAGGGTTGCGAGGGTGTCGAAACGCGACTCGGGAAGGTTTGGGTCGACAGTCGAGGCTGAACCTGCGAGGTCAAGGTCTTCTAGTGTACGCGCTGTAATTTAGCGCAGTAAGGAATCGTAATTCCTTACACATCGCTAGCGAAGAACCTACCCCCGCTGCGCCGATTGGCCCTCATTTTGTTACACACGCATCGCGTGTGTTATGAATAATAACTGAGTGTGCGCGGAATAATAATGACGAGTACAAGAATGCTAGCCTAGCATTATATAGCGAGAGCTCTAGCTAGGCAACGAAGCCGGAGGCTAGGTTGGGTACAGGCGCAGTCAAAAGGTTCAGAGGCGGCGCGGGCGTGCCTCGGGGTCGCATCGGAAACGGACCGAGCCTGGTGTTCCGAGAGTTCGGGTGTACGCGATTGCAGTACAACCCGGTGAGGAACAAAATTCCTTACACTACCCCCCCTCTTACGGAAGGTGATCCATATCGGGAACGCCTTTTCGGGTCAAATAAGATTTGAGCACCGAGTGTTCCTGAGTCGAGTTGGAAGTGACCCAGGTGTCGTCCTCGCTTGTACGGTCAACCCAGCGGACAAGAAATCCACGTGTCGTCCTGTTGAGTCGAGGCGAACGCGATGACTCAAAAGCCGGAAAGGCTCAAGGGTCGATTCAGCCAGTGGGCGGACACTGGGGTCGGCCGCTGGTCGTGCGACTGCAGACGTGCTGGCGACGTAGGGACGAAGCAGGCTGACGTGGAAGGCGTCGTGAATGCGCCACTCGTCCGGGAATAATAACTTTGCTGTGACAGGTGTCACCATCTTGAAAATACGAAAAGGGCCATAGAATCGCGGCCGAAGTTTTGAAGGCAGGGGCAAGAGAAGGTTCTTCGTGTCGAGGAGGACTAGTTGCCCAGCGGTCATCGTGATATCGCGGCGATGAAGGTCTGTATAGCGTCGAGCGGTTGTATTGGACTTGCGAATGAATTCGATCGCTTTATCCCGTGCAGCTTGCAAACTGGTCACAAACTGCTGGGAACATGGCACCGGGTTGTCAATGTGGGTAGTCGCCGGGACGATCGGATCCATCCCGTAGTTTAGGAAAAACGGCGAGGGATTTGTCGTAGCCGATGGGGCATTGTTGTAGGAAAATTCCAGCATGGGCAGGAATTCTTCCCACCGGGCAGGATCGGGGCAGTTGGTGCGTATCAGCTGCTCCATGGTTTGGTTGGTTCGCTCGGTCTGGCCGTCAGTTGGAGGATGGTAGGCGAAGGAGAATTGGAGGCGTGTGCCGTACTGTGCCCATGTCTCTTGCCAGAAATCGGACGTGAATTTTGGGTCGCGGTCGCTGATGATCGCGGATGGTAAGCCGTGTAAACGAACAACGGTGGAGATGAAAAGTTTCGCTGTATCTTCGGCTGTGATTGTTGTGCGACAGGGTGCAAAATGCGCCATCTTCGTCAGACGATCAACAACGACGAGGACGGCGTCGTTGCCCGTTTCGGTTGCCGGAAGTCCCGTGACGAAGTCCATCGTCACGTGTTGCCACGGCCGCTGGGGTGGCTCGAGTGGTTGGAGCAGTCCAGCCGGCCGCTATCGAGAAGACTTCATGCGTTGGCAGATCGGGCACGCGGATACGTATCTCTGCACATCAGACGCCGAATCAGGCCAATAATAAAAATGGTGTAGTAACTTCTGGGTTTTTTCAACCCCGAAATGACCCGAGAGGTTAGAATCATGGACTTCTTGAATAAGTAATTCGCGGAGGAGTCTGTAGGCGGGAACCCAGATACGGTCAGTTCCAGCTTTTAGGAAGTAGGGTCCTTTGGCTGTGATGGTTTGCTGGTGGAGGTTGCAGGTGAAAAAGGGGTCTGTGGTGTAGCCGTGGGTAAATAGGCCAGTGAGCAGCGGGTTGGATTTTGCGACGATGATGGAGGCGAGGTGGGCGGATGGTCTTGTCAGTGCATCTGCGATGTTATTCGCCCCACGTTTGTACGTGATGGTGTAGTGGAAGTTGCTTTCGAGGAAGTCCAGCCAGCGAATCTGCCGTGGATTGAGGTTTGGCTGCGCGCGGAGGTACTGTAGGGATTTATGGTCTGTCCGTACTGTCACGTCGGCTCCCGTCAGGTAGCATCGCCACACCTTGAATGCGTGCACGATGGCGAGCATTTCTTTGTCGTGGACGGGGTAGTTGCGCTCGGCTGCCTGCAACTTCCTAGACTCATACGCGATGGGTTGGAGTCCTTCGCCGAAATCTTGTAACAGTATTGCACTGATGGCGAAATCGCTAGCGTCCGTCCAGACTTCGAACGGTCGAGATGGGTCGGCGGTTCGGAGGACCGGGGGCGACGTCAGAAAATTTCGCAGTTTGTTGAAAGCGGTCTGCTGTCTCTCCCCCTACTCAAACAAAGTGCCCTTCCGCAGCAAGTCAGTTAACGATCCGGTTATCCCTGCCATATTGGGGATAAACCGCCGGACGTAATTAACTAACCCAAGAAAACTCTGCAGCTCCTGTAAATTCGTCGGCGGCTTCCGGTCGCTAATCGTTGTGATTTTCTTCGGGTCGATTTTGATGCCGTCTGCTCCCACGACATGGGAACTAAAAAAATTCCAAAAATTCCAGTTCGGATTTTAGGAACTCGCACTTTGAGCCCTTCGTGATGAGCCGGTTTTCTTGCAGCTGCTGGAAAACTTGCGCGAGGTCCTTGAGGTGCTGTTCCTGTGTCTTGCTGTAGATTAGAATGTCATCAAGATAGACGATGACACACTTGTCGAGTAGATCTCGGAATGCGCCGTTCATGGTGAGTTGGAAAGTGGAGGGCGCGTTCGTGAGGCCAAACGGCATCACTGTGTACTCGTAGCTGCCATAGCTGGTTCGGAACGCTGTCTTGTGGCAGTCGTCAGCAAAGACTCGGATCTGATGGTAACCGCCGCGTAAGACGATTTCCGAGAAGAAGCGAGCTCCGCGAAGTTGATCGAGAAGATCGTCCGCGCGTGGGATTAGGTAGCGAGACTTAATGGTTCGCCGATTCAGCGCCCTGTAGTCGATGCACATTCGCAGCCCGCCGTCTTTCTTAGGCGTGAACAGGATTGGTGCTGCGAACGGGGACGTGCTGGGCCTAATGAACCCCTTCTCCAAGAGGTAGTCCAATTGGCTCCGCAATTCCGTGAGCTCGGGCTGAGTCAGCCACCACTGGGTCCTGACTGTAGGCTGCGCGTCGGGTTCCAGGTCAATTTTGTGGTCCTGGGGGCGCTCGGGTGGCAACCCTGCTGGCAGGTCGTCCGGAAAAATATCCGGGTATTGTCAAATCAGCGCGGCGAGTTCTGCAGGGACATTGGCACATAGTGTGTCAATGTCCTTTGGCGTATCGTCGACCGTCGCTCCGACCAGGTGGACGGCGTACAGATCAGCTCCTTTTTTAACTGCTCGCTGGAGGGTGATGGCGTTGACACGTGTCGACACCGGATCCCTCCCTCGCCAGCCCGGAAGTACGCGCCACTCGTTCGCACAGTGCACGCGGCATTCGCCAGTTGTCCAGTCGATCCTCGGGTTGTATTTTTGCAGCCAATCACGCCCGAGCAGAATGTCGCAGCCGTCCAGCGTCGTGGCCAGCATGGGCATGTTGAATCCGAAGTCGTCGCCACACTTCATCCGCACCATGCGCGCTCGTTCCCGAATTGCAAGTGGAGTTCCGTCCACCAGTCGCGCGTCGATTTCGGGAAGACATTTTTCCAATGTCAGCTTCAACTGCTTCGCTGTTGTTACGTGTATGAGACTGTGACTAGCTCCGCCATCCACAAATAATTTTATTTTTTTGCCGTTAACATTGCCTTCGACCAGCACAGGGTGATCTTCAAGTTCGCTCCCGTTATTCGTCCGAGTGCGGTTGATAGCGTGTATCGGTACCACAACTTGGTGGGAACGTTGAAGTTCGGGCGACAAAGCCTCGTCAGTAGGGGGCCCGTCTGCTACTGAATTTTCCCATTTCCCGGCTTCTCCTTGTCGTTCTTCGTCTTCTTGGGCGCCGTCGGACAGTATTTAGCTCGGTGACCTGGCTTGTCACATCGATAACATAGCCCGTGAAATGTTTCATCGGGCGCTGACACGCCATAGATCGTGGGGCGGGGAGACTGTCCGCGAAAACGACCAACATCCCTGTTGTTCTTTCTCGCCCACTGCTGCAGTGCATCGGCTGCTGACGCCAGCTGGACAGCTTCATCGAACGTCTTCGGACGGGACCGCTGCAACTCATATTGAATATCGAAATGCAGCCCGCTAACGTATTTGTCCCGCCTTTCCGCTTCGCTGAGGTCGTCGACTTGGTCCGCAAGTGCAGAGAACGACGCAGTGTAATCTTGAACAGTGGTCACCTGCCGCCAGTTGCGCAGCTTCATGCAAGCGTCGTCTGAGGCGGATGAGTGCTCAAAGCGAGCTCGCAGAGCTGTGTGCCACTGTTTCCACGTGCGAATCGTGGTCGTATCGAATAAGGTTTCCGCCTGTTGGTTTGAAGAGTCCGAAGTCCCGTCCTTTGCCTGCTTCACTCCTGCCGGATTCCCAATCGCCAACTGTCGTCGCCACCAATCCAACGCGGGTCCTTGGAGCAGCGACACGGCATAATTAATGCGCGCGTCATCCGTGTGCACACTTGCCGCCGTGAAGAACAGCTCCATGCTGAACAGCCACCCTTGCACCGTCGTCGCCTTGTCCGAAGGGTTGAACGGGGGCGGTGTTGCTGGCTTGAGTTTAATATTTGTTACAGTCACAGTGTGCACGTCGTCCTGCTCCAACTCCCGTGCGAGCTCGTCAAGGACGCTTTCGCTCGCTGCGTCGTCGGCACCCTGCTTGACCTCGTCTTCGGTGACTCCAGGCGACTCCTGACGCGCTTCATCACGCGTCTGGCGAAGCTCGGTGTTCTCCGTCCGAAGTCTCACGACTTCACTGTTCAAACTCGCCATCTGGGCCTGCAATGCCTGCATCTGAGCCATGACCTCGTCTAGCTGGGCCTGGGACATGATGCGAATGCTACGCCTTTCGGGCAGGGGGAAGGCCGTGGTAAGAAACCGTAGGGGGCGCAAACGCTATCATAGTTGTGTGAGCTAATAACTCTACCTCACGGACAACCGCTTTGCAGCCCCGCAAGGTTAACCACGCCTTGGAAATAAACTACCCTGAGAAAGCGGGGTGAACCAGGAAAGTAGCTCTGATACCAGATGTTATGAATAATAACTGAGAGTGCGCGGAATAATAATGACGAGTACAAGAATGCTAGCCTAGCATTATATAGCAAGAGCTCTAGCTAGGCGAAGAAGCCGGAGGCTAGGTTGGGTACAAGCACGGTCGAAAGGTTCAGAGGCGGCGCGGGCGTGCCTCGGGGTCGCGTCGGAAACGGACCGAGCCTAGTGTTCCGAGAGTACGGGTGTACGCGATTGCAGTACAACCCGGTAAGGAATAAAATTCCTTACAGCTTGGGTTTCGCATGGCGCGACTGTAAGGAATTAATATTCCTTACTGCGCTGAACTACAGCGCGTACACCCGAAGACCTCGAACTCGCAGGTTCGGCCATTATTGTCGGCCCAAACCTCCCCGAGTCGCGTTCCGACACCCTCGACACCCAACCAAACCATTCACGTCCCGAGCAGGCCTCTCGATAGCCGGGTAATTACCCTGATTACTCAAGGAAAACAGAGTGATTGTGGTGTACTACCCTGATTTCTACGCATCCAGATTTGAAGTACACGTCCTAGGCAACAACATTCCACGTCCGATTTCCGAGTAGCGGTACACAATGTGAATCGATTTTGAAACAGATCCCGATTTGGGAACAGGACCGAAACGAAGGGTTCAGTTCGAAAGGACAGCACCTAGACCAGCACAGACTTAGGAGCGGGTAACGGGGTCCCTGTTACGAGTGGGAATGGAACCGCCACTCAATAATGGGAATAGAACCTCCGAAAATAATGTCTGTCTACAAGTGACGAGAGACCGGGCTAAAATAGGGCACGGACGTGCTAGGACGAGTTAGGGCGAGGATTTTTGGGGACACACCCTTAGACACACACTCATTGCGCTTCATTATGATACTACGCCATGGAAACGTACTGAACTGACATGTGCGTGCTCCTGCTTTACAATTGGGTGCAAGACGATTCTTGCTGCTGGTCTCGTTTCTATCATTCCTCCTTTCCTGCCCTGGGCTTCGCGCTTTCGCCCGTCGATCTGTTTCCCAACTCCCCTGCCATGCGCATGGAGCAACGCGCGCCTCACAACACGTCCCGATTTTAGTAGACTGTCGCTGCGTTCAAAGCGCGCGTCGCACACCGAGAGAGAAGCGCGCGCCGTAACGCCGTCACACCGTAACGCCGTAACGCCGTAACGCCTTAACCCCGCAGCGCCAAGATGCTGGCGGCGTTCGCGGCGGCGCTGGTCTTCTTCCACACCTCCGAGTTCCTCCTCGCGCTCTGGACCACGGGCAAGGCCGACATGCGATGTACGCCTCGCCTCGCCTGTTGCTCCCCTGGCTTTGCAGCCTTGCTTCTTCCCCCACTTCTACTTCTTCCACACCTCCGAGTTCTTTCTCGCCCTCTGGGCCACTGGCAAGGCCGACATGCGATGTACGCCACCTACTCCCCTCGCTTCTTGCTCCCTTCGCCTCGTACTCCCCTCACCTATCCCTCCCCTCTGATATTCCCCTTTCCCACCCCCCCTCTCCCCCCCTCCTCCTCTTCCTCCTCGCGCTTTAGGCCACCGGCAAACCCGCCATGCGATGCACTCTCGCGTCTGCCCCTCTTTGACCCCCTCCCCCTCCCTTTTGCCCCAAGCCTTGTACCGCGCCCCACCGCTCCCCGTCCGCCCCGCCTCTCTCCGTCTGCCCCTCGCGTTTTCATCACCGGAAAAAGGTCGACATGCATTCTACACTCTCCCACCAATTTCCCCTACCCTCTTCCAACCCCCCCCCCCCCCCCACTCTCTCCTCCCTTTCCAAGCATCTGTTCCGCCTCGGGGCAAGGCCGACCAGCGATGTGCCACTCCCCCCGCGTTTATTCCTTCCGTCTCCCCCTTCCCCTTCCCCTTCCCCTTCCCCTTCCCCTTTCCCTTCCCCTTCCCTCCTTCGACCCCCGCCTCCTGGGTCCGGCTGGCGCTGACGGTGCTGCTGTGTTGACGCTGCTATCCCCCCTATTTTACCCCCCCGCTCCCCCCCTCCCTCCATCCCCCCACCGCCCCACCCCCCTCTAGCCGTCCAGCCTTCCTGTTCTCGAGGGAGTATCTCCTCGCCATGGCAGCATCGCTCGCCGAGTACGCACTGGAATGGACTCTCTGTCCGCAACTCAAGCAGCAGTTCTGGCCCGTGGGCTGGGCGGGGCTGGCGCTGGTGGTGGCGGGGGAGGCAGTGCGCAAGGGAGCGATGGTGACTGCGGGGACGAGCTTCACGCATGACATTCAGAGGGAGAAGAGGAGAGAGCACCGCCTGGTCACAAATGGGCTGTACAGGTGAGGGTGCTTGCGCAGGTGAGGGTTTATCGGGTGCTCATAGGGTGTTGATGTGCGCTTTCTTGCAAAGGCAACGGTCCCGAGTGCTGGATTGAGGCTCATGCATGCGACGTGTTTACGTGCGCATTGTCATGCGCATATGGCTGTGCTCGTCTGCCTGCACCCGCCACTCTGCATGCGTGTGAAACCATCGATGACCCCCTCCCACGCTACAATGGCAAGTGGGTGCTACATGGGGTGGGTGTAGTCAACCCCCTCTGCACCATTCGCAGTTTCTGCATGACCACCCACACACAGTTGCTGCATGACCACCCACACACAGTTGCTGCATGACCACCCACACACAGTTGCTGCATGATCACCCACACACAGTTGCTGCATGACCACCCACACACAGTTTCTGCATGACCACCCACACACAGTTTCTGCATGACCACCCACACACAGTTTCTGTGTGTATGTGTGGGTGACCACCTCCACCCTCCACGTGTGGCCATCGCCCCCTCCGCTTGTAGGTGGGTGCGGCACCCTGGCTACATGGGGTGGTTCATCTGGAGCATCGCCACTCAGCTGCTCCTAGTCAACCCCCTCTGCACCCTCGCCTTCGCGGTCGTCTCCTGGCGCTTCTTTGCCGTGCGCATACCGTGAGTCCTTGTTTGGGCATGAGGTGCATACGGTGCATGTGCCCACCTGAGGGCCTGAGGGCATACCCTGCATGTGCCCATCTGAGAGCATGCCGTGAGTGTTCCCGTGGATGTGTCCACCTGAGTGCGTTCGCTGAGCATCTACATTTGTCTTGGCATTGAAGCACCTGAAAGCTGTCGTCTCCTGGCGCCTATTTTTTGCACATGTACCGTGATTGAGTATCTTCTTGAGAGTGACTCTCATGAGTTGCTGTAGCTGGTGCCGTATGGGGGGCAGCCGGACAGCATGCACCTTCAAGCCAGCTCAAAGGGCCATCGAGCCACCAAAAATGTCCGCTCCTCCTGTTCCCTCATCTCTTTCATCCTTTCTTGACCCGTTTACTCTCTTTCGGTCCACTCACGGCAGCTACGAGGAGTTTTACCTGCACCAGTTCTTTGGCCTCGACTACGCGCGATACGCTGCTTCAGTGCCATCGGGCATTCCCTTCGTCTCGTGACGCCAAGCCTCTGCCCCCATTCCTTTCCTGGGGAGCATATAGCGGCACAAGCAAGTCGCCCGGCCATGAGCAAATAAGCACGTGCGAATAGCAGTGTCGGGATGCGTGTAGCAGGACGAGCGATGCTGTCCATCAGTCGCGACCAGCAACGGGTTGACCTTCGCAACTCGAGGCGTCTCTATGAGATGTGTGTAGCAGCACACACGTGCCATGCAACAGTCGTGCGCATCAGTGCATGTAGCTACGTGCACCGTGATATGGCAAGGCAAATTGCCCATGCTCCACTTCGTCGGATACGAATAAGAAAATCCATAAGCATTGGGTTTTTTTATTGATGCTTCTTGCACGTGAAACACCTTGACTTAATGCCTTCTTTTATCCATATAGTTGATAAGGTTAGGGTTGCCATTATACCGTTTTATTTCTTGTTGTGAACAGAGTTTGCGGCTTATCGGAGCCAAGCTTGCCAAAGGCAACGCACCATCCACTCCTTTCTCACTTGGCTTTTGCATCATGTAGGCAGGCCATTCTGATGCTTGCTTCAGTACCCTATGCTTGCCATTCTCAATTCGCCTACTGCGCCAGAAGCCATGCAAGCCGCCAAGTCAGATGGAAAACGATCTCGATCGGTCAAACGACGGCAGTGTTCCGTCAAACAAGTTCGAGCGCTGCCGCCTTGCCACGCTGTGCGCGATGGTCGCACCCTCTGCAGACAGCCGGCGCGCCGTGCGCCATGGGAAGGCTCTGAGCGGAGGGCGGGCGGACCGACTGCGCGCGAGGCTCATCCTGCTGCATCTTCGTGTGTCTCTCCGCTGCGCGCCTGTCAATCGCAATGGCCGCTGATTGGCGAGCGAGAGCTTCGGGCGAATTGATGTGCATCGTAGATTAGCGGTGAGCCATGCTTTCTGCGCAACTGCACCGTCCTCCTGCAGTCGCCAGTGCGGCTACGGTCAGACGGAGGACTACTAATATTCCCACAGACAGGCCTGTCTCCCACGGCCTCCCTGAGAGACGGTCAGAGATCGCGGAATTTCGGCAAGAGTAGGGAGGTTTGGTTTTGAGCGCGGCTTCAGATCTAGAGTGCCTGCAGAGTGCTGTTGCTGCCCTTCGACTGACCACCCGCGATCGGGAGAACGACTTCTGGCGTGCTTGGGAGCGAGCTCGGTGTGGGCGTGGTTGTAGTTTCTGTCTTCATGTGGAAGATGCTTATGGCGAGGATGGTTGCGGACAGAGTGCAGAACGCCCTTGCCTTTCTTGGCTGGGCGATTCCTGACATGGGAACACATGCTGACATGGTAACATATGCTGACATGGTAACACATGCTGACATGGTAACACATGCTGACATGGTAACACATGCTGGCATGGTAACACATGCTGGATGGTAACACATGCCGACATGGTAACACATGCTAGCATGGTAACACGTGCTGGCATGGTAACACATGCTGGCATGGTAACACATGCCGACATGGTAACACATGCTGACATGGTAACACATGCTGACATGGTAACACGTGCTGGCATGGTAACACATGCTGACATGGTAACGTGGCAACGTGCTGGCGCGGCAACATGCTGACATGGTAGTCTTGGCTGGCGTGGCGAATATTGGTTAATCTGGTAACATCGGCACACTCTGGTGTCTCAGAAATCCGTTTGTTTCCTGTTTTATGCCCTCTTGTTCTCCTGTCCTCTACTTACCTATGCCCATGTGGTTGAAGAGTTGGGCTGGAAAGCCGAGGAGCATGTGCTGGCTCGCAGTCATCTCACCCTTCTGCCCGGCGTTCTCTATTTCTCAGGCCCTCAAGTTCACTGGTCTTCTCAGGACTGATCCCCGCACCTTGCTGCTAGTCTCCCCTCAGGTGCCTTTCTAATTTGACTTTTCTTGCAAACTAATTTTTTTTCACTTTTTTTAACAACATTTCTCTCCATTGTAAGTATTTCTGCTAGTCGTGGCAGCAGCAGTATGAGCCATCGTATGGTCCTGGATTTCACAACCTCCCATGTGCCCTCCGTCCATACGCTTCGGGCATCCTTCTCACACACTCCAAGCACACAGTTCCCTCTTTATCTGTGTCCTTCCCGTCTCAATCCTCCTCTCAATCCTTCCCGTCTCAGTCCTCCTCTCAATCCTTCCCGTCTCAGTCCTCCTCTCAATCCTTCCCGTCTCAATCCTCCTCTCAATCCTTCCCGTCTCAATCCTCCTCTCAATCCTTCCCGTCTCAATCCTCCTCTCAATCCTTCCCGTCTCAATCCTCCTCTCAATCCTTCCCGTCTCAATCCTCCTCTCAATCCTTCCCGTCTCAATCCTCCTCTCAATCCTTCCCGTCTCAATCCTCCTCTCAATCCTTCCCTTCTTAATCCTCCTCTCAATCCTTCCCGTCTTAATCCTCCTCTCAATCCTTCCCGTCTTAATCCTCCTCTCAATCCTTCCCGTCTTAATCCTCCTCTCAATCCTTCCCGCCGTGCGTGGTTCTTGCGCTCTTTCCGTGCAGCCTAATGCCAGTGCCACAAGGGGTGGTTCGGAAGTCCCCATTGGTCCTCGTCAGCCTCCGGAATTCAGCCAGCCGTTGGATCCTCGCGAGATGCCTGCTTGGATTTTCTGCGGTGCGGTGAGTGTTTCCCCGCATCTCCAACGTTCCTTCAGTTTCGCCCTTGGAAACGTACTTTTGCCATTCCAGTATTTCTGTCTTTCTGCTTGTTCGTCCCAAGGGAAACGACAGCAGCAATGAGTGAAGTGAGACTTGAGTGACTGTGTCAAGGAAAGTATGGGCCTTGACTCTCGGTCAAGGAAACTCTGGCATTTGACCCTCTGCCGTATCTTGTGCTCTGCAGGTCTTTCTCCTGTACCTTGCATGGAGCACCCTGCTCGCTCTCCTCTGGTGCTGCGGCGTCTCGCCGACACACATCAAGTCGTGGATGCAGAAGAAGAAGGTTGTGGTGGGAAGTCGTCTGGCCAGCTTCAGCCGCACAAGCTTTGCCTACATGGTATGCATACCCTGGAGCTCGCTTCCCTTTTTCCATGATTTTCAAAGCCAGATATATGTAATTTTATGTCCCCACTGATCTCCCCCCTCTCCCCCCCCCTTCCTCTTTCTTCCCCCACCGACACCTTGCCCCCCTCTTTTTTTTAACGACGACGCTTCTTTCCTCTCCTCCCTTCCTGCAGACATATGGAGTGAGTCGAGTCTTGTTTCTCGTCAGGTGTGTGGATTAGTTTGTTTCGCAGTTCGCCTGACATTACCTTTCCTCCGTAGCTGGTTTCACTAACCTCAGGCGCTTCTTCCCTCCAGGTTGGTTCTGCTGGCACCTTTCCGCGTCACCCTGGCCTGGCTTTCTGCCTGCCGTCGTGTCATAGTGGAACGCAGAAAGAGGAGGCAGAGGGAGCACGCAGGAGTGGGGGAGTTGAAGGGGAGGGTTGAAGCACTGGAGGTGCAGGGCAGCAGGCTGGAGGACAGGGTTAAGCAGATGAGGGGAGAGCTGGGAACTTTGGCAGGGCAGCAGGAGAGTATGAAGAGGGATATGGCCGTGAGTACGAGGAAGTTTGAGGAATCGGTTGCAAGGTTGAAGGTCATGATCTCTAGGGTGAGGGTTGAGGGAGGCTTGGGTGTGGAATGGCAGGCGGTAAGGGAGGTTGAAGAATTGGAGGAGACTGAGGGTCCGGCTTCGAGATGGAGTGAGAAGCAAAGAAGGCGCGATGCAAAGCAGGAAGCAAAGCAAGCAAGGCGGGAGGAATTATGGAAAGCGACGAGTCAGGGAAGGGGCGGCAAGGGAAGTGAGAGTCATGGTGGACATTCTGCAGGAGGACAGCCATCTAAACGACCAGCGTTGGTGCATTAGTAGTTTCTTCCCTCTAGACTACACTCAGATACAGTTATGTGGCGAACAGTGGGAGGAATAAATGTCTTGCTAGTTGCAGCCTTGAACTTGTGATGGTATGCGGGGTGCCAGCTACATGTAAAGGCAGTCATTGTTTCTTCTGGTAGAACCAGTGCTGATTGTTCCACACAGCATCTCACTGCAGATCTAGGCACAACCACGTCACTACTTCACAATTCCAAAGCATGCAGCACCTCCCAACATCCTGCGACATCATGCTACAGCATGCACCATCTGCCCCACTGCGCACCATCATGGCACAGCATGAGATAGGCATGTTGAGGGTGATCTCTGCTCGCGGCACTCTGCCTCAACACACGACCACACTAAGCGTCACCAGCTCTCCCCTTGACGCATTCCCCCTTGTGCTCCGCCGCCCAGTGCGCTGCCTGGCACTGCTTGCCGCAATACCACACGCTCTGGCACCAACTGCACAGCTACAACTGCTTCCTCCCCACCTTCCTTCACTACAGCTGCCATCACACTTTTTTTTCTCGCACTTTCTTGCATTCCCATTTGTGCTCCTTCTGGTGAGCGGGCTGGCACTGCATGCCACAGTACCACATGCCCTTGCACCGGTTGCACCGCCTCAGCTTCTCCCAGTCACTCGCCCCCACCTTCTTCCCGCACCCCTCCGCCGCACACCTCCTCGCCTCCCTCCTCGCCTCCCTCCTCGCCTCCCTCCTCGCCGCCTCCTCTGCATAGCTCCCGCCAGCAGCGCTCAGAGCTGCAGAGGGGTGCGGAAGCCAGGCTGACCCCAGGAGGGCCTCATGAATGAAGTCCAGAGGGGTGGGGAGTGGTGAGGGGGGGCTGCTGCTGGCAGGCCTTAAGCTTCCGCCCTCTCTTCCCCTCTCTCCATTGGCAACAGTGGACCGTACAGCAAAGCAGGCGTACGGCAGTGCCTCCATTGCTCCCATCCCTTCCAGCTCCCAGTACATCATATCCTTACCCACATAAGGACAAGCAACACCCCCAGAACCCTGCGCTCCTCCCGTCCCCTTTCTCTTCCTCTCGGCATCCCTTGCCTCCTTCCCCGTCCCCTTTCTCTTCCTCTCGGCGTCCCTTGCCTCCTTCCCCGTCCCCTTTCTCTTCCTCTCGGCGTCCCTTGCCTCCTTCCCCGTCCCCTTTCTCTTCCTCTCGGCGTCCCTTGCCTCCTTCCCCATCCCCTTTCTCGTCCTCTCGGCGTCCCTTGCCTCCTTCCCCGTCCCCTTTCTCTTCCTCTCGGCGTCCCTTGCCTCCTTCCCCGTCCCCTTTCTCGTCCTCTCGGCGTCCCTTGCCTCCTTCCCCGTCCCCTTTCTCTTCCTCTCGGCGTCCCTTGCCTCCTTCCCTGTTCCGTTTTTCTCCCCTCCTCCCTCCCCATCCTCCACCCTATTCCCCCTCCCTCTCTCCTCTGCCTCCTTCTCTGCCTTCTCCTCTGCCTCCCTCGCTCTTCTCCCCTGCTCCCAGAACCACGCCACAGGGGGCAGCCAGCAGGCGGCCACCTCATCGCTGAGCGGGACGGGGCACACCTCCAGCAGTAGCGAGCACACAGCCATCA